TTTCTAAATTTGGCGTGCGCCCTAACCCAGAAACCTGGTAAAATAAATTTTAATTTTCCACACCTCTCTGTCCTGCCTGGTGCCTCATATTGCCCAGATGCCATGTGGTCCTGCTACCTTAAAGGTGAGAAGCCATTTGTTATAGGAAGGCAATAGGTGATGGAACGCAAATGGCTGGGGAGGGGAGGAGGATACAGAGCCTGCTATGGGCTATAAAACCCTGAACCCTGCAGGGTGCCATGCTGCACTCCTGCTCAAACACAAGGCAGCGCTCTTCTGCTCTGTCTGTCCATCAACACCTGCATCCGGCTTCATTCTAACGATGAGTCTTCACTCAAACTCATGGTTTCTTAGTAGTATACAAACAGGTCAATTTTTTTTATGGACTTTAGGGATAAGCTTTTTTAGCCTTTTTTTTTCAGACTGTAAACTTACAGTTTGCAACCCTGCTAGAGCATGTAATTACAGAATCTATTTCTAAGCACCTTGAGGATAACAATATGGACTTGCCAAGATCTCTTGAGTGTATTTTTACAACCCCTGCAGCAGCAGGATACTGACCACCCTTGTCCCTTTGCTTTACCTGTGGTAGGTTAGAGTGCAGTGCCTTGTAGTTGCATGAAATTCAGTCCAGGAGGACTGTAATGATGTGAAATTCAATAATAACAAGTACAAAGTGACTGCACTTAGGAGAGGACAACCAAATGCACAGATACAAACTGGGGAATTACTGGCTGGGATCCAGTACTGCAAACAAGGACTAGGGCCTTATAGCAAACAGCAAGTTGAATATGAATCAACTCTAGATGTAAAAAAATTCATTTAACAGGAGTGACAAGTCTAGGGAAATGATTCTTCCTCTCTATCCATGTTTCAAGAAAGATTTTATGATTGTAACTCAGAGAGAGCATATGGATAGTATATGCTTGGCCCTCCATTGTTGGTGTCTGACAACATTTGCTTCTATTGTTGGAATGCTGATAATCACATTCAGTAAAGAAGCAATATTTTACCATTGTGGTAGTCATCTAATCCTGTAAGGGCAAAGTGCCAGAACACAAGCAGCTTCAGCACCAGACCCACTTTTGGCTCAGTAGCTTCCCCTTCAGCATGATAATCTGAAACCACAGGTTCAAGTCATATGGGAGTTCTCTCAGCCCTTCCTGCTAAGGAAGAGAACTTGATTCTATGGTAATTAGCATCAGTGGGCATGTCCAGACCAAGCACGCGTGTGCCTCTT